AATAATAGTCATTTCTTCCTCTTGTTGCATAATAGTAGCTTATTCCTTTTTGTTGCATAGTCCATTTATCGATAGCCCACATTTTATTTATCCATTTGCCAGTTGATGGACTTTTTGGTTGTGTCTAGTTTTTGGCTACTATGAATATGTTCCTATGAACATTCTCCACAAGTTTTTGTGTGAACATATGTTTTCATTTCTTTTGGGTTGATGCATAGAAGTGAATTGCTGAGCGTAGTAAGTTTATGTTTAAAGAAATTGCGATTCTATTTTCCAAAGTGGCTATAATGTTTTACATTCCCACTAGCCATGTATAAAGATTCCAGTTTTTCCATATCCTCAACAACACTTGATGTCAATCTTTTTCTATAGCTGTTCTAGTGGGTGTGTAGTGGTATCTCATTTGAGGTTTTTATTTATATTTTCTGATAGTGTTGAGCACCTTTTCATGCCCTTTGTCTATTTTCTTTGGTAAAATGTCTATTCAGAGTTTTTGCCCATTTTAAAATTGTCTTTTAAATATTTGTCTTCCTATTGAGTTGAGAGTTCTTTATATATTACAGAAATAAGTCTTTTATCACATATATGATTTATAAATATTTTCTCCCAATCTGTGACTTTTTACAAAGTATGGTGTCTTTTAAAGAGCAAAGGTTTTAATAACTTAACAGTTTTTTTCTTATAGACTATGCTTGTGGTGTCATCTAAGAAATCTTTGCCTAATCCAAGATTGCAAGGATTATCTCTGATGTTTTCTTCTAAACATTTTATAGTTTTAGCTGTTATATTTAGGTCTCCAATAAATTTGGTTTTAGTTGCTTTTTTTTTAATATATATGGTGTGAGATGATAAGGGTCTACATACATTTTTTTTTTTTGATAGGGCTATCCAATTATCCCAGCACCATTTGTTGAAAAGACTGTTCTTTCCCCTATTGAGTTTACCTGGCAACTTTGTTGAAAGTCAGTTGACCATAAATGTAAAGATTTATGTCTGAACTGTCAATTCTGTTCTGTTAATCTATATCTCTCTCTTTACCTGGTAGACTTTTTAAGACTTTCACAGTAATGTTTCTGAATTTACCTTCTTGCTTTTACATGCAATCTGGTCAATGATGGGACCTGAAAGAACCTTGTAACACATAAACATCACTGTAAAGAGGGATGCAGAAGTTGAACAAAGTTTTATATTCACAAGCCAGATAAATAGAAGATAAAAAGCATGTCAACCCAGAGGGAAAAATGGCCAAAACTGGTGGGAAAATATGATACTCATAAAAATGAAGTTTTTATTGCATTAAAATACAACAAGTTAACATAACACGGAGAACTAACCAGACAGTCACTTAAACAAGAAAGATCTTAATGTTTGTCTTTCGATATCAGTTTGAGTATACACAATCCAAACTTGATATGGTGGCTGCATTTCATAAAGTCAGGAAATCAGACTCACTCTACCATCTCAGAGAAGAGAATATCTCTTCCTTTGAAGGAAGTTTCACATGTTAATTTCATTCATTCCATTGGTGAAAACTTGTCACTGGCCATACCTGCCTGCAAACAGTGCTTGGAAGCATAATCTTTAGTTGAAGGCCATGTGACCAACTAAAACTTACATTACTAAAAAATAAGCAGGTGTCTTTGTGAACTCAGGTTGCCATACCAAACACCATATACAATATGGCTTAAACAATGAATATTTATGTCTACAGATTTGGAGGCTGGGAAATACAAGATCAATTTTCCAATAGATTTGGTTCCTGGTGAGAACTCTTCCTGGCTTGCAGATAGCCACCTTTTTGTTGTATTCTCACATGGCAGAGAAGGAGAGTTTTGGTCTCTCTTCCTCATCTTGTAAGGACACTAATAATCATGGAGGGCTTCACCTTCATGACTTTATTGAAACCTAGTTACCTCCCAAAGGCCACACCTCCAAATACTATGACATTGGTGGCTAGGGCTTCAGTATCTCAATGTGGGATTGGTTGGGGGAGGACATAAACATTCAGTTCATATCAGGAAAGATCCATAGTTAGAGGCAAGTGGCAGGTTATGCTTCCAATTACATTAGTATTATAGATATATTTATAAATAATGTGTTGATATTATATATAGTTACATTTATATATACATCAGAAGACAACCATTGAGCACTTACATTGGAGACACTATTGTGATTGTAAAGACTGCCTTTAATGAGATTTCTAGAATTTAACAACTGGTGAAAGGGGAAGCAATAATAGTGTTACGACTTTATAAATGTTATTTCTAAACTGAAAATGCCATTTTAATTTTCCACACACAACCACTGCAGATCTAAGCTGCACTAGTTACAGCTTTTGAAGCTACCTTGATGTAGTAATACTTCACTTCAAACCCAAGTATTGAGGCAGGGCATGGTGACTCACGCCGTAATCCCAGCACTTTGGGAAGCTGAGGTGGGTGGATCACCTGAGGTCAGGAGTTAGAAACCAGCCTGGCCAACTTGATAAAACCCCGTCTCTACTAAAAATACAAAAATTAGCCAGGCTTGGTAGCAGGTCTCTATAGTCCCAGCTACGTAGGAGGCTGACGCAGGAGAATCACTGAAATCTGGGAGGTGGAGGTTGCAGTGAGCCGAGATCTTGTCCCACTGCACTCCAGCCTGGGCAACAGAGTGAGACTCTGCCTCAAAAAGAAAAAAAAAAGCCCCAAAAACATGTATACATGTATTGAGTGCCTGTCATGTCAGGGATACAGGGACAAATTGTCTGTAACCAGAAATACAATTACATTTGGCCTTGAACAGAAAGCAGGGTCTTCTCATCCTAAAATACTGCAGTTTGAATATTAATAAGAGGCCTTTATAATTTAGAATTTATTATGAAGTAATTGTGTTTTGGAAAAATCCCAGGACTGGATGCAGAGAGACTTAAGTATATGTCCCAGTTCTGTCACTCAGTGGGCAACTGAGTCAGGGGGCTGACCTTAGTTTCCTCAAGTTAAAAATGAAGGAGTTTTTTATATATTATAGTTTCTACGGTCTCCTTTGTTTCTATGATTCTGTAGCCCTAGTTATCTATAATGTATATCTTTATATGAAATATACTTTATTATCTGTACATTTCAGTGACTCTATAGCTCCAGTTATCTTTAATCTATAGTCCTAGAGTATTTATGGCAAGCCACCTCAAAACAGAGTCTTAAACAATGGCAGTTATGCTCACAGAATGTGTGGATCAAGAATTCACACAGGCCAGGCATGGTGGCTCATGCATGCAATCCCAGGACTTTGGGTGCCCAACCAAGGTAGAAGGACTGCTTATGCTTAGGAGTTAGAGATCATTTTGGGCAACATATTGAAACCTCATTTCTACAATTTTTTTGTTTTTTAATTAGACAGGCATACTGCCTTGAGCTTGTAGTCCCAGCTACTTGGGAAGCTGGGGTTGCTTGAGCCCAGGGGGTCAAGGCTGTAGTGAGCCAAAATTGTGCCACTGCACTTCAGCCTAGGAGACACAGCAATATCTAGTTTCAAAAAAGAAGAAAAGAATTCAGAGTCTGGGCAACAAAGTGAGACCTCCCCCCCTCCATCTCTACACAAAATCAAAGTTTAAAAATTTGTTTGGCACAGTGGCATGTGCCTGTAGTCCCAGCTACTTAGGAGGCTTGAGGTGGGCGGATTGCTTGAGCCTAGGAGTTAGTGGCTGCAGTGAGCTCTGATTATGCCACTGCATCTGCCTCAGCGACAGAGCAAGACCTTGTCTTTTGTTTTTTTTGAGATGGAGTCTCACTCTGTCACCCAGTCTGGAGTGTAATGGCACGATCTCAGTTCACCACAACTCTACCTCCTGGGTTCAAGAGATTCTCCTGCCCCAGCCTCCTGAATAGCTGGGATTACAGGCATGCGTTACCACACCCAGCTAATTTTGTATTTTCAGTAGAGACAGGGTTTCTCCATGTTGGTCAGGCTGGTCTTGAACTCCCAACTTTAGGTGATCTGCCAGCCTCGGCCTTCCAAAGTGCTGGGCTTACAGGCATGAGCAATGCACCTAACCAATCTTGTCTCTTAAAAAAGAGTTCACACAGAGCATAGCAGATATATTATGTCTCTACTCCATAATGTTTGGGGACTTATCTGGGAAGAATTAAACAGCTAGAGGTAACTTGAAAGACTAAGGGCCAGAATCATCTGAGGTTCTTTACTCTTGTGTCAGGCACCTGAAGTGGCATGACTCAAAGACAAGGCTTAGCTGGGACCATTAACTGAAACACCTACTTCAGCTTCTCCACATGACTTGAGCTTCTTCACAGCCTGGTGCCTTGAGTGTCTACCATGGCAGCTCAGGGTTCTCAGAACTAGTGTTCTCCAAGAGAAAGTTTTTATCTTATAAGATAAATTAAAACATTTTAGTGTACTAAAAAAAAAAAATTAATTTTAAGCCAGGCATGGTGGGCTCACTTCTGTAATCTCAGTACTTTGGGAGGACAAGGTGGGAGGATTGCTTGAGTCCAGGAATTCAAGACCAGCCTGAGAAACAAAGCAACACATTGTTTCTACAAAAAACATTTAATAATCATCTGGACGCAGTGGTGTATGCCTGTAGTCCCAGCTACTTGGGAGGCTGAAGCAGGAGGATCACTTGAGCCTAGGAGTTTGAGGCTGCAGTGAACTACGATCATGCCACTACACTCCAGCCTGGACAACATAGTGAGACCCTGTCTCAAAAAAAAAAAAAAAAAAGAATTATTAAAACCAAATTCATGAAAAGTGTTATGAATCTATGATCTGTTCCTGAGCTAGTATGACACAGTTTCAATTAGTAAAACTTATTAAAAATCTTTGATGTATACTAGAGCAAATGCCCTTTTCTTTATTATCATTTCACTGTTTTGGTCCTTTGCTGTTCAGTATGAATTTTTTTGATACTTTGTTAAGGCTCATATTTTAAAAATCCTTTGAGATATTGAATGGAAGTATGTTAAATTTATGAATTAATTTTGGAAGAATTGTTATGTTAATATTGTTCAGTCTTTCCATCCATTTTAAGTCCTCTTTTATGTTAACAAAAGTTTTTAAAAATTCCACATAGAGGTTTTACCATTTAGATTTATTTCCAAAGACCTTCAGTTTTTGTAGTAAGAACGAGTGGGCTCTGTTTTTATTACATTTTAAATTGGTCGTTGCTAGTGAATAGACATACTACTAACTTTGTAAATTAGACCTGTGTCTAACAAACTTGTTAATGTCTTTCTAAATAGTTTTATTGTTTTACCAGTCTGTTAAGGATGCCATGACAATAAGCATCCTTATGTTGTTCCTGATTTTAAAGGGAATATTTTTAAGGTTTCATTATCGAGGATTATGTATGCTCCAGGTTCAGATTGATAGTTTAAGTTGGGTTAAAAATATTAATAGTCTATTCTATTACTAATTTGCCAAGAGTTTAAATTAATTTTTAAGTATTAAAACTGCAGTTACTTTTGTACCAGCCTAATATTAATAGGTGTTTAATTTGATCCAATGTTTTTTGTGTATCTGTTGAGATGATTTTTCTCCTTTTATATTTGAAATATAATATTTCTTCTTCTTTTTTTAAAATTATAGGTGGGGTCATCTCCCTGTGTTACCCAGGCTGGTCTCAAACTCCTGAGCTCATGTAGTCTCCCCCTGCCTTGGCCTCTCAAAGTGCTGTGATTACAGGAATGAGCCATCACACCAAGCCATATTTCCTCTTTTCTTAGAGAAGTTTCAGAGACATGGGTCTTGCTATGTTGATCAGGCTGCAGTGCAATGGCTAGTTACGGGCATGATCATAGTGCACTACAGCACTGAACTCCAGGGCTCAAGTGATTCTCCTGCCTAAGCATCCCTAGTAGCTAGGACTGTAGGTGGGTGCCATCACAGCTGGATAATGTTTTCTCTTTTAAAATAATATTTTAGGCCAGGTGTGGCGGCTCATGCCTATAATCCCAACACTTTGGGAGTCTGAGGCGAGCTGATCACATGGTCAGGAGTTCAAGACCACCCTGGCCAACATGGTAAAACCCTGTTTCTACTGAAAAAAAAAAAAATACAAAAATTAGCTGGGCATGATGGTGAGTGCCTGTAGTCCCAGCTACTCGGGAGGCTGAGGCAGAAGAATTACTTGAACCAGGGAGGTGGAGGTTGCAGTGAGCTGAGACTGCGTCACTGCACTCCAGCCTGGTGACAGAGTGAGACTCTGTCTCAAAAAAAAAAAATATATATATATATTTTTTATATATATACAAAAATATATATATATAATATATATATAATATATATTTTTTATAAATATATATATGAGTAAAATGAAGTGGTTAAAAAATCTGAAATGTAAAATTGAAATTTTATGGTATTTATTTATGTATTTATTTCCTCTGCTGGACTTGTATCTAATATCTTAAAGGTCGAGACTAGTTATTTTATTCATCATTGTTTCCCTAGCACAGTGAAGGTGTTCAGCTCACATATAAGGGTTAGATGGATGAACAAAAGAACAAGCAGACAGGCAATGATTGAGATAAGAGAAAGGGATTATGCCAAAAGGAAAATAATGAAAGCAAAAGCCTTGTTAACTGTTAATTTCATTATCCACATGGAGTCCTGGGTGGAGCCTTAGGGAACTCCAGAAATGACTGTAATGATTCTCCAATGATTGAGGGAAATATATTCAATATTTCTATTGCATTAGACCTGCAATATTTTGCAAATTTATTGCCTTTTTTTAATCTCTCTCTTTATAAAGAAGCTTTTTAAATTCTCCTCATTGGGGATGTTCTTTCTTTTGAATTCATTCAGTCACTTAATATTTATTGATTACCTGCTATATACTAGGCTCAGTGCTACTGCTGGGAACTAGTTAGATAGAGCCTGTCTCTACACTGGAGGATCTCTCTGGCTGGCGGGGGGTATAAACATGTAAACAAACAAATATGGCAGTGATTTTTAAATATCTATCCTAATTCCCTTTCGTGTTTTTCCACTATAAAACCCACTTTGTAAAGGAGATCGGCTGTTTATTGGGGTTTTAACAGTTGTGTTTGGTAAACAAAAGAATAACTTGAAGTAACTGAGGATTGGATGCTGGAAGGAAATTATCTGAGCTACCACTCTTGGTTTATTTACTACTATCTCTTCCTCACTTTCAACTTTCAATATTGAAGGAGTGTATTCCTGAGTTCGACAGGTAAAAAATATGACTAGTTTATGTGCTTTAATTAGTTAGAAATTAGAAATTTAGGGTCCAGACACAGTGGCCCATTCCTGCAATCCCAGCACTTTGGGAAGCCAAGCTGGGAAGATCACTTGAGGCTAGACTTTGAGACCAGCCTGGGCAACATAGCAAGATCCTATCTCTACAAATAAATTTTAAAAACCAGCCAGGTGTAGTAGCATGCACCTATAGTGCCAGCTACTAGGCAGCTGAGGCAGGAGTATTGCTTGAGCCCAAGAGGCTGAGGCTGCAGAGAGCTATGATCTCACCACCGCACTATACTCCAGCCTGGGTGACAGAGGGAGACGCTGTTTCTACCAAAAAAAAAAAAAAGAAAGAAAGAAATTAGAAATTTAGGAAGTATGTTAATCTCTTCTGATTTTAAAGCAAAGTATCATTTTACTCATAAATGTTTAAGTATATATATATATAAACATATAGGACTTTAAAATCATGACCATAATATTGGTATCACACTCACTGAAGTTAATAATCTAATAATGGGTGCATTTTAAACATTCAGATGAATATGAAACAACCAGAGTCTAAGTAAAGGAATTTACCATGTTCCAATTTACCAGTTGGGGAATAGCTTGGCTTTTAACCCCAAATTTAGTGGGTTATTTTTTTTAATTTTAGCCAGAAACATTTAAAAATCATCCCTTCCGTGTCCCCTCTTTTAAAACAGAGTAACAAAGTAAGCAGCATGGATGCTCTTAGTTTCTAATTTTATTCTCAGTGTACTTTACAATATCCTGTGGGTGATGGGAATGAATATGTGTCCTGCAAAACCTGGTATTTTCTTATATGATGAATATTTTCCATTTTATTTAAAAGGCAAAGCTGTTGGGATATCCTTTGCATTATATTCTGAAAATAAAAATCAGAATCCCTGCTGCTAATGGTGAGATTGATATTCTAATACCCTAGTTCTAAGCCTAGCTTTGAATGCTTTGAATAAGAAAGTCATTCCTCATGACTTCTAACAGGTAATGCTTTGTTTCACTGATTCTCTTTCAGGGATTTTCTTTTTGAGGCTTTTCTTTTTTCTTTCTTTTTTTTTTTTGAGTCAGAGTTTGGCTCTTGTTACCCAGGTTGGAGTGCAATGGCACAATCTCAGCGCACCGCAACCTCCGCCTCCTGGGTTCAGGCAATTCTCCTGCCTCAGCCTCCTGAGTAGCTGGGACTACAGGCACACACCACCATGCCCAGCTAATTTTTTGTATTTTTAGTAGAGACGGGGTTTCACCATGTTGACCAAGATGGTCTCGATCTCTTGACCTCGTGATCCACCCGCCTCAGCCTCCCAAAGTGCTGGGATTACAGGCGTGAGCCACCGCACCCGGCTGAGGCTTTTCAAACTAAATAGAAGCCAGTACTCTTGAGCCACATTAAACCTTGTTTCAGGCCTGGAAAGACTTGCATGTTTTTTAAAAAAAGAGACTAGGGAAGAAACAGTTACTGTCATATGTTTTACTAGACTATATATTAAACCAGAATTAGTCATCTCAGCCACAGAGCTCCATTCTGCTCTTTGTCTAATTGTGTTAAAGATTTTAATCAATTTGTAAGCTGTAGCAAGTTCAGTTTATAAAATAAACTGATGGTACTTTATGAGCATTTACTACTTGCCATCGGTCTCCTATGCACTAAAGAAGCAAAAAGATGACTTCTATATCAGAAGTCTTTGTTAGTATTTCACCTAAAAAATTTAAATATATTGCTTTTTATTACTTCCTGTTTGAACCTACAATCAAGTGGAGAAATACCATGTGAAAGATTGTACATGCTGGCTTCTTTGGTTGAAGACATTGTTTGCCTTCCATTTTGTATCTAGGGGTAAATTTTTGAGACTTGCCTGTTTACCATTAAAATAAGATTTAAATTATAAAATGCCTTTAGACTCTGCTTTTTTGGTATGTGGGGTTTTTTTTGTTTTTGTTTTTTTGCCTGTCCAGTGAAGTTCTGAGCTATACTTGCCCAAAACTCTTACTATACCATGAGTTCTGAATTATAGATAAGCAGTTAGAGAGTAAACAGGGTAGAATTGGTAAACTAGAAGGACCCAGAGGAATCATCTGGTACTTTTCCTTCATATAGGATGAAGGAAACCTCTCCAGAAAGTGATCCTTTTCTCTAAATAATTTTCAAAGAGAGATGTTTATTCATTTATGTAATGCTTTTTTTTTTTTTTTTTAAATTCTGAGCCCGGTGCTGTTTAACTCTCTCTCTCTCTTTAGTCACCCTCAGTCGGGAATTGTTTCTCAGTCTTTGACTTTTATAATGTTGATACTTTTGAAGATGACAAGCTAGTTATTTAGTAGAGTGTTTCTCCATTTGAGTTTGTCTGTGGTTCTTCATGATTAGATTTAGAGTACGTACCATGAGGAAGAATATTATAGAAGTGATGCTGTTTTTCTCATCCCATCCATTCTATCAGATAGAGTATAATTTTGATTTGTCTCATTGGCTGGTGATGCTCACACTGATCATTTGACCAAGGTGATTTCTGCAAGGTTCTTTATGTAAAGTTTCTCTATTCTCCTTCATGACTAATAAGAATTTCGTGGGGAAGTACTTTGAAATTATGTAAATATCCAATTACTAATAAAAATTTCGATTTATTTCATTGATCTATAGAATCATGATTTTCTGTTTTATTCAGTATTATATCTTATTCAACCATTATTTATTTTAATGCTGAAATTTTCCCCTACTTGGCCACTGGGAGCTCCTAGAGAATGGCTTTTTTGTCCTTTTGACATGTTTCCATTATTCTTCAAGCATAACTTGCTTTTGGAACAGCAAGATATTCCAAGCTCTTTTTGTGCTTTCCTGGCACTAGCCCTAGAATCAAGTATTTCTCCAAGTAGCCCTTTTTAGTAGATACTGATCTATATGGATATATATGGCTCTTTTTAGTAGACATTGATGTATAGCAACCAAGCCCTGTGCAGTAGATTTGCTCATTGCTTCTGGATATGTATTGTTGCTTTTAGATCTTCTCAGCAAACAGAACTAGAGAATAAATACACACACACACACACACACACACACACACGTATTTACACCTGTATTTCTTCTACCTCACAGAGCTCATTTTAGTTTTTTATCTCTCTGGATCCTAAACTTACTGGTAAATCCCCCAGTGTTTGCTAACTAGCTGCCTCTTTGTGTGGTTGCCCTGTTAACTCTGTTTAAATGCCACATGCCAGATTGCACCCTTCCATGGATGCCTTTCTGGCGTTCTGCTTAGGCTCCAACACATCCGTGTCAGGCTGCCACTCTTCATGAATGCCCTCATCATCTTGCTGGGGCTAAGTTTCCCCAAGCACATGAAAAACTGGACTGTTTTCATGAGTTTGGATACCAAAGAAAATTGAAAGACTGAAAAGTACTTAAGAGTTTACTTTAAAGGGAGGAAACTGGAGCAGAAGTTCTCCAAATGTGATCTCTAGACTCAGAACATCAGCATTCCCTGGGAGCTTCTTGGAAACTTAGATTCATAGGCTCCATCTCAGACCTGCATCAGAAACTCCAGGTACGGGGCCCAGCAATTTGTGCTTTAACAAGCTCTCCAGGGAATTCTGACACATACTAGTGTTTGAGACCCACTATCCAAGGGAGAGACAGAGTCTCAACTTAGTATTCTGTTCTGCATCTAGGTTATCTCTGACATAATGAAGACTCCCTGGTTGTCAAGGTCTTGGAACTATTTTTTTTTTAATTATTATTTTTTTTAGAGACAGGGTTTCACCATGTTGGTCAGGCTGCTCTCGAACTCCCGACCGCAGGTGATCCGCCTGCCTTAGCCTCCCAAAGTGCTGGGATTACAGGTGTGAGCCACCGTACCCAGCCTGGTCTTGGGACTATTTTTAAGGACTTTGGAGCCATCCTAGAAATGAAGTCCTCTCATATGGATCAAGATTGGAATATCTATCCTGTTAACCCACCATCTGTGGAAAACCTAATTCTCTAGGGAAAATCAAGGAATTATACGAGAATTAAACTGTGCTTTGTCTTTTTGGTATAGAAATGTTTTAATTAAAGCTTTACAGATAGAAATAGTTAAAAGAAGGACTAAAATTAATATCAAAGCAATGAAAGTTGTGTAGTTTTTGTTGTTTTGTTTTTGTTTTGAGACAGAGTTTCGCTCTCGTTGCCCTGGCTGGGGTGCAATGGCGCGATCTCAGCTCACTGCAACCTCCACCTCCTGGGTTTAAGAAATTCTCTTGCCTCAGCCTCCCAAATAGTTGGGATTATAGGCATGTACCACCACTCCCAGCTAATGTTGTGTTTTTAGTAAAGATGGGATTTCACTCTGTGTAGGTAAGGCTGGTCTCAAACTGCCAACCTCAGGTGATCCACCTGCCCCAGCCTCCCAAAGTCCTGGGATTGTAAGCATGAGCCACCGTGCCTGGCCAAAAATTGTACAGGTTTTACTTATTTTAAGCTCACATTTGATGTAAGAATGTAAAATTAATGAAATATTACTCTCCTGTACTGGCTGTGTGTTTTCTGTAGTATCTAAAATATGCATCAAGGCCAGGCACACCTGTAATCCCAGCACTTTGGGAGGCTGAGGCAGGTGGATCAACCACTTGAGCCCCAGAGTTCGAGACAAGTTGGGCAACATGGCAAAACCTTATCTCCACAAAAAAATATAAAAATTATCTGCTAGTGGTGGCATGGACCTGTGGTCCCAGCTACTTTGGAGGGTAAGATGGGAGAATGGCTTGAGCCCAGATGGTCATGCCTTCAATGAGCTAAGATCGCACCACTGCACTCCAGCCGGGGCACCAGTGTAAGACCCTGTCTCTTCATATATATATAAAATTTGTGAAGCATGTGTGTGTGTGTGTATATATATATATGTGTGTGTGTGTGTTTGCAAACATATGTATATATTTACAAACATATATAAAGATACACATGCTTCACAAATTTTACTTCTATACAGACATGGAGGTTTACATTTCAGGTGAATAAGACAGGCTCTGTGTAAAGCAATTTGAGAATAAGAAAGTTTTATCTCTTTTTCTTGAGTGGCATGAAAGTATAAACAAAAAACTGTATTTACCATGGAAAACACAGCATATTCACATTCAGTTTTGTGACCTTCACCTCAACTGGATTAGCCAGGTAGTATGTTATTTGCTTAGATTCCTGGGTCAGATACGTCCTGTATCTTTTAGCTTTTCTGTCAGCCAAAAAGGAATAATTAGGACACAGAATCTGAATTTTAAAATAGATTCAGTTTAAATTAAAGGTTCCCTTGAATTGAAGCTGATTCCCTTCTTAAAGGTGATTGATATTTATGGTTTTTCATTTTCTTTGTTATCAAGAATACTTCTATTGTTTTACTACAAAATTTTTATAAATATCTTTGGATTCTGTTTTTTCTGAGTTTATGTGATTAAGGTTTTAAGAATATCTAGACATAGTACTTTTGACTTTTTCCAGACAAGAAACAAGGTACATAAATATATACCCACTCACATTTACAAGCCTAGGAGATGAAGTTTCATGTAATACAGACTTTGGCTTAATTTTGTTTGGTTCTTACATATTTGTTTGCACTTAGAAATAATCCTTTGAAAATGTGTCTCAGAAAATCATTAACATTGAAAAAGGAAATATGAAAGACTTAGAATTCTGAAAATTATAACATAGTAGACTTTTTAATTCATTATCATTTGTGACTTCAACATTTTTGTGAGATTACTTTAAGAGCCATAATACTGTAACATTTTGTAATTTTGTGAAAGTCCTGATTGTCAATATATGCCCTGTGAGTCTTGGTAAAGAGTAAGTCTTGATAAGCATAGTTGTTTTTTCAGTATGTAGATTTAAATTTAACTTTGTTTCTCGGTAGAAAATATATCCAGGAAAAAAACCAACCACTAGTGCTGATATATAATTGATGAAAACATGAAGTCCAAGGACATGATGATATTTAACAAGGAATGAGCAACTTCAGCTGGGTATAGTAGCTCACACTGGTAATCTCACAACTTTGGGAGGTTGAGGTGAGAGAATTGCTTGAGCCCAGGAATTCAAGACTAGCCTGGACAATGTGGCAAGACCCTGCCTCTACTAAAAATAAGAAAATTAGCTGAGAGTGCTGGCATACACCTGTGGTGCCAGCTACACAGAATGCCAAAGCAGGCAGATCACTTGAGCCCAGGAATTCAAAACCAGCCTGGGCAACATGGTGAAACCCTGTCGCTACAAAAAAATATAACAATTAGCTGGGTATAGTGGCACATGCCTGTAGTCCCAGCTACTGAGGTGGGAGGATCACTTGAGCCTGGGAAGTTAAGGCTGCAGTGAGCCATGAGCATGTCACTGTACCACTCCAGCCTGGGCAAAAGAGCAAGACCCTGTCTCAAAATATGAATAAATAAATACATTGAAGCACTCTTTAAATTGGCAGATTTATGTTATGAACCTAAATTACTGTACACCTTATAGAGACACCAAAGTGCTCCCTAAAACTAACCTAGTCATTATGTTAGCCAGCAAATATTTGCTTATGTAAAGATAAAACTTTACTAAGAATTAGAAAGTACTAGAGCTTATTACTTCAATCCCATATTTGTATAATCACTTTCATTTTTTGCAAGGATTATTCTGCATTTTATAGCTTTAATTATATGTTACTCTGTAAATGACATTTGAAAAAGTTGTCTTAGGACAAACTTCATATACACTAAGGTCTGGAATAATGAGGATGAGGAAAGACCATAACTTTTATAATATTAATTTTTTTTTTTTTAGCCTGGGTAAAAAAGAGCAAAACTCCGTCTCAAAAAAAAAAAAAAAAGACCCAGGGCATGTCACCCCACCCCATATTTCAGCCTGAACGCCACCTCTCCCACTGTCGCCTGCCCCAGCTGTCCTGCCAAGTGTTCCAGAGTCACTCCCCTGCACTTTTGTTTGTCTTTTCTGCACAGCTCAGTCTGTGACTATGAATTTGTACCTGTTGAGTTGGGCAAACTCTGCAAGACCAGTGCCCTGAGCCCGAGGCAGGGTGGGGAAATCACCACTCACTCACTCTAAGGCTAACTTCCATGCAATGCTTCATTTTGAGGTTCAGTCTTAGCAAAGGAGAGGAGAGGGCAGAAAACGGCACCAAGAAGCTTCCATCTGCTGCATGTCTTGCCTACGTCCTTGATACCTTTCTTTTTTTTTTTATACAAAACAACTTTTCTTTTTGGAATGAAGGAGAGGAAGAAAGAGGAAGAAAAAAAGGGAGAGAGAACGGAAATGTAGCTTTATTCTAAAAATGGGTATTAATAATGGCCCTCAAAATAATTTTTTTTTTGAGACAGAGTCTTGCTCTGACGCCTAGGCTGGAGTGCAGTGGCATAATCTCGGCTCACTGCAATCTCCATCTCCTGGGTTGAAGTGATTCTTCTGCCTCAGCCTCCCGAGTAGCTGGAACTACAAGCTCCTGACACCACACCTGGCATTTTTAGTAGAGAGGGTTTCACCGCGTTGGCCAGGCTGGCCTCAGGTGATCTACCCACCTCCGCTTTCCAAAGTGCTGGGATTACAGGCATGAGCCACGAAGCCCAGCCAAGATTAATTTTTTTTTTTTGAGAGTTTTGCTCTTGTTGCCCAGGTAGGAGTACAATGGTGCAATCTTGACTCATTGCAACCTCTGCCTCCCGGGTTCAAGTGATTCTCTCAAGTAGCTGGGATTACAGGCACCCAAACCATGCTCAGCTAATTTTTTTTGTAATTTTAATATAGATGGGATTTTACCATGTTGGCCAGGCTGGTCTCAAACTCCTGATCTCATAATCTGCCCGCTTTGGCCTCCCAAGTGCTCGGATTACAAGTGTGAGCCACCACACCCGGCCCATTTCAAGTTATTTATAAGTATATAACACAGATTTCCATCAACAAATAATTTTATGTATGTATTCCAAAGCCCTTGGATATAGAGGAGAAATGGGTAATTTTTAGCAAGTTCTGGCCTGTCCTTTTCAATTACAGTAGCTCAGGAAATATAGGTATACCTCACTACTTGAACTCAGGAGATTTGGATAGCAGTACCGTATGCCAATAGATTTCTCCGCTAAAGCTTAAGTCTAGATTTTACTGCGTTCACCAGCCTCAGTGTTCCCACTCTGTGGGTAGCTGACAATCTTCACATAGTTTCTTGTAATAAAATACAATGAAATAGTGTTTAAATGTCAATTAGATACTTCTTCCCTCTCTTTCCTTTCCTCCATCCATCCTCAGTTTAATTAGTTACCCAGTACTTTTTCCACACCCACCATTTGGAGGAAGTTTGTGATATCAGAGTGAGTTGATGAGGGTACTATTGATTTCGCTGTGTTTCCTACTGCAGTCATTCTCTGAAAAATGATCAATGCTATTGGAACTATGAAAGCCAGTAACAGACTTGGCCTCAAAAGATCCCATTGAGGCCAGGTGTGGTAGCTGACATCTGTAATCCCAGCACTTTGGGAGGCCAAGGCGGGCGGATCATGAGGTCAGAAGATCGAGACCATCTTGGCTAACATGGTGAAACCCTGTCTCTACCAAATACAAAAAAATTAGCCGGGTGTAGTGTCGTGTGCCTGTAGTCCCAGCTATTCAGGAGGCTGAGGTAGGGGTATCGCTTCAACCTGGGTGGCAGAGGGTGCCATGAGCCAAGATCATGCCACTGCAGTCCAGCCAGAGCAAGAGAGCAAGACTCCATCTCAAAAAAAAAAAAAAGATCCCGTTGAGTGTTTTTTCTTGCACTAGTTATATAGTCAGTTTCCCGCTTGTAAATTATTACAGTGGGGGATTTATTAAGGAAAACATCATTTAAAAATTGTAATGGCTGCTATAAACTGTCATTTGCAGTTCTCAGCTGACAGTCAAACAGCTGCAATCCGTTAGTGAGCTTTTACTTTCAGCTGCCAGAGGTCTTTCAACTCTTGTTCTCCTGGAAATGAGGAGGGCTGGGCTGGATGGGTTGAGGGGAAGTGAGGGTTGAAATACGTATTTTCTCATACCATATTTTTCATGCCTCCCCACAGTTTCCATAGAAATGGGAACATAAAAACACCCCACCCAGACTTGGAAGAGAAATCATTTATGTGTAAACTGCAGTAGATGGAGGCACACAAAATAAGCTAATCTTAGAGTCTTTCCTTTACTTATATTTGGCCAAGAGTAATTTCAGATAGATTCTCATTTGATTTACTCTGCATATAAAAAATGAGTTGATATTGCTTTTAATCAGTTTTTAGAAAGTTTGATATTACCTTTTTTTCTGAAATGAGAATTCTCTTGAACATACTTTGATTGATTGTTAGGTACGTTATCTGTTGTTTATGTGTTAAATCTGGCAAGCATGGTGTTTTAACTTTCCTCTCATGTTTGTTCTCTCCAAGATTAAATAAATGAATTCCAGCCTGGCTAATATGGTGAAATCCCATCTCTACTAAGAAAAAAAAAAAAATAGAAAAGTTAGCCGGGTGTGGTGGTGCGCACCTGTAGTCCCAGCTACTCAGGAGGCTGAGACAGGAGAATCACTTGAACCCAGGAGGTGGAGGTTGCAGTGAGCCGAGATCGTGCCACTGCACTCTGGGCCTGGGCAACTCCATCTCAAAAAAAAAAAAGAAATTATTTTTAGCCTGGGTGCAGTGGTTCACGCCTCCAATCCCAGCACTTTGGGAGACTGAGGCAGGCAAATCACTTCAGGTCAGGAGTTTGAGACCAGCCTGGCCAACATGGCAAAACCCCGTCTCCACTAAAAAAAATACAAAAATTAGCCAGGGTGGTGGCACATGCATGTTATCCCATCTACTTAGGAGGATGAGGCAGGAGAATTGCTTGAACCCAAGAGGCAGAGGTTGCAGTGAGCTAAGATTGCACCATTGCATTGCAGCTTGGGCGAGAAAGCAAGACTCTGTCTCAAAAAGAAGAAAAAAAAATGAATTTTGATTTAGGGAATGCTCCAATTGCAGAGTATAAAAAGTCTTCTCAAATAGTCTTATTCTTATGCATTATTTTAGAAATTGCCCCCCAGAACAGAAGTAATTATTAGCTCTGTCAAACATATCAGAGAAAACTGCCAAATTTAATTAGTTATCACAATTTTCTCATTTAGGTAACAAGAATATCCTGTGTTAAGTGCATTTCTATGTTTTCCACTTATCAGCTCTGTGTGATCACATTATCTCCTATAACACCCATACTCAGGGAAAATATATGGGCATAGTCTTCATCTGTTTCTTTTATTCCAGCATTTAACTAACAAATTCCATTTGAATCATGACACAGCAAGAATATGCTTAACTAAATAAATCTGCTCTAGGCATCTACTAAGTATTCAGCTTTATGTTAGGTTGCAGTAGATACCAAATGTAAGTAAGGCAGGATTTTTTGCCTTAAGACATCACAATGGAGTTTGGATAATTCATACCCCAGGAATAGCTCATAACAGCCATATGTGATTATTACGAGTGACTTAAACTAATTCCATGACTAGGAAAACTTGCTTCCTTTCCCTTTCTACTGTCACCTTTTTCACAAAGTCTCTTTCTCTTGATCTATTTTCATAGCTTCCTAAATATCCTTTTAATTGCTCCCTTTCTCCCTCCTTCCCTCCCTCCCTCCCTTTCTTTCCTTTTCCTTCTCTTTCTCTTTCTCTCTTTTTCTTTCTTTCTTTTTTCTTTTTCTCTCTTTCTCTCTTTCCTTTCTTTTTTTTCTCTCTTTCTTTCCTTTCTCTCTCCTTTTTTTTTTTTTCAGGACCCCACTCTGTCACCTAGTCTGGAATGCAATTGCACGATCATAGCTCACTGTAAACTTTTCTGGGCTTAAGGGATTCTTCTGCCTCAGCCTCTGGAGTAGCTGGGACTACAGACCCCACTAACCATTCCTGGCTAATTTTTTTTTTTTTATTTTTTGTAGAGATGGGGCCTCACTTTGTTGCCCAGGCTGGTCTTGAACTCTTCAGCTCAAGTGATCCTTACACCACAGCCTCCCAAAATACTAGGATCACAAGTGTGAGCTCCTGTACCTAACTCTTTCTTCTTTTCTTTATCTTCCCTTCCACTTTAGCGTATATGTGATTTCCAGATTCATATTTGTAAAAACACAATTTTGATCGTTTAAGCATTTTAAAACCTCAGTGATCTCTTCACATCATTGTGACAAGACTTTTCTTTTAAAAGACAGTTCCAATGTCAAATATTCTGCCTCATAAGCCTGGCTACCAAAACAATCCAAAAACTTTTAGTATTTTAGGTTCTTTCATATTCCAAATTGCTTCTCTTATCCAGAATGGATGAAAACATCTGTTAAGACCATCTGCCTGATTTTTATTTCAGAAAATATGGCCACTGAGCTAGCAACTACCAAAATAGGTTCATGCTTTCAGTGTTTGGCAGCAACCTAGACAGTCTTCAGGCTGGCTTCAGTGTATTCTTTCCAGCCTGTTCTGCAGGTGCCTTCTGCCAGGTCATCTAGCTTCTCACCCAAACAAACAGGACTGCTTGGCACAGTTAGTAGACCCACATTTTATAGCTCCATGCCTTTGCTTATGGAAGTTTCCTTTGGAATGAGGAAAGATATAAGCAATAATGAGTTGTTTCTTCCATCCGGAACATCTTTCCCCGCCTTATACCCTTCTCATAGCCCTACTCTAGGTAATACTATCTGTAATTTACATTAACACACCCCAGTCTACACAGTGTGTTAGTCTACCCCTTGGACGTGGCCGATGAACATTTGACGCACACTGATATAAGAATACATCATGTAAGGATAGTTGTTTGACATTGGAGAGACCCTAATCAGGAGATAACTACTGTCAATTTAACTTGCTTATCTTTAAATCTACACCCAAGGGTCTTCTAGTTAGCATAAAGGATGTCAGAAATAATTTCAAATTGGATTGGTTGGAAATACCATACAGGTTCCTCTGGCCCTGCATGAATTGCACATAAGATTCTGGCAAGGCGGGTAGCCTAACGCCTGCATGGTGGCACCTGAGCCAGTGCACCATTTGGGCCTGTTGACTACCACCCTAACAGAAGATGCTTCCTACCTGGGAGAAAGGTAGGAGACCTAATGGCCACGCCTGTCTGCAGTCCTTGGAGGCACTGATACATGCCCTCCTCCTCCCCCACCAAAACAAAATAAAACAAAAAATACCCTGACACTTTGGAATGGTCAGTAGCAAAACCTCCCTCCAGGACAATGCTTGCATGCTGTCTCTCCCTTCAAGTCTACCCTAACTTTCCTGATGGATTTGTTAACTCATTCTCCTCTACACCATCATAGAATGAGGCTTATATTTCTGTTATGGCATTAATAAAATTTTAAAGTTTATTGTAAGTTTCTTGATGAACAGACTGTGTCATAACTTTCTTTGTATCTTACATAGCATGTGGCATAGTGCCTTGTACACAGTAGATATTTGTTGAATTAATGAGCATATGTATGTACTTAACAATTCTGTAAGGAACAGATCCAGCTTTGGGTCATAGGAATACTGGGAGCCAATATGTGAGTTCTTAGACTTCCATTAATTCACTGTTCACAGTTCTAAGGGAGTCAGTGGTAATTTGTCCATAACTACATGGCTCTAATTAGCCATCGGTGCAAAGACACATTGGGATTGCTGTCAACAGTGTAGGAAAGCAGTGCGGTCTACGTTGTCTTCTTTCAGAAACTCATACCTAAATGTATTTCATACTGCTGTTCTTCCAACTCTGGCTCTAGGTAATAAAGAAGGGGAAATATTTAGGACAATTATTTTTCTTGTTCTATATATCTTAGCCAATTTGAAGCAGTATATATAACTTACCAAGTACACCAGGAGAAAAGTAAAAGAGGGGCAATTATAGCACACAGATTTTAAAAACAAAGCAAAATTAAACACTTAATCTTAGTAACATTATAGTATAGTGAAGAATTCAAAGCAAGGATTTTGAACCCAGACTGCTTGGATTCAAATTAATCCCCACCATATTAGCTGTGTGGCCTTGGGCAAGCTATTTAACCTTTCTATGCTTTTGTTCTTCTTCTGGTAAATGAAGATGATAGAATAGCACCACCTCAGAGACGTGAGGCTAAAATGAACTGATACATGTAAAGCATATAGTACTCAGTCCCTGGCACAGGACGTGCTGGATGTGCTTGCTATTCCTGCAGTGATACGGTTCAGTCATAGGTCCAAAGGCAGAAGCCTGCTAATTTCCGTCAGTGTGCAGTCCTTCTGTCTCGTGTTTTGCAGTTCCCCACCCCCAAAGGAGTCATCTTCATGCCTTGAAGCCACTACATATTGGTGCCTACACCTTTCTTGTGAGACCTGTCACATTCTACCCTAAATTATATAATTATTTGTAAGGTCCTTAAAAGCAGACATCTTCTTTGTCTTCCTCGCAGCACCCGGCAGAATGATTATATAACAGCCTTGCTCACACAGTAGCTCTTTGCTAACTGTTTGGGGAAACTATGAACCTCTGTGAGGTTGGTCCCTGGAGGCCCTGCACCTTGGACTGGTTCCTGGGTACCTCTCATACTCTTCAGTTTCAGCTAGCAAAGTCTTCCCGCACTGTACTCCGGCAACTGGCCTTAAGTCCCTTCAACATGCATCCTTTTCCAAAACTGGCTTCATGTGTATATGACCTGTGCAGCCACATAGGTCCCCACACTTGGCTGAATGCTCCCTCACTAGCTTGAAATTCTTAGTTTCTGTGTTCCATTTTTATCTTGCACAGAGCCTGCAAATTGTGTAGCTGGTCTTGCTCTTCGTCATCCTGTGCTCATCATTCCCTGTGCCTGGAACACCCTTTCTCCCTAATCCTCACTGGCTAACCTGCTCTTCAGGGCTCAGCTTCATTGTCATTTCTTAGAAAAGCAGTAAAAATTAGATCCATGTACTAGTATCCTTCCATTTTTTCTTCTCTCTGAGAGCACTTCACTTACTTTGTAAATACAGTATTTATTTAAATTGTGATTATTTCTTTTAAGACTTTCTCCCCACCAGACTATAAACTCCTCCAGGGGATAGTCTTTGTTCCAGGATCACTATGCCTGCTACATAGTAAACAGTAAATAAATACTTGTTGAATGAGTGAGTGAATAAGTCATTTTTAGAAATGCAAAGTTGTGGCCGGGTGCAGTGACTCACGCCTATAATCCCAGCCCTATGGGAGGCTGAGGCAGGCGGATCACTTGAGGTCAAGAGTTTGAGACCAGCCTGGCCAACATGGCAAAACCCTGTCTCTACTAAAAGTACAAAAAAATTAGCCAGTAGTGGTGGTGTGCGCCTGTAATCCCAGCTACTCAGGAGGCTGAGGTAGGAGAATCGCTTGAACCCAGGAGGTGGAGGTTGCAGTGAGCTGAGATCACACCACTACACTACAGCCTGGGCAACAGAGCAACATTCTGTCTCAAAAAAAAAAAAGAGAGAGAGAGAAAAGAAATGCAAAGTTGTATGGATAAGCCTTTCTTCCCAAGAGTTAAAAAGTTGATATATATCCAGCGCCCGCGATGACTGCCACTCTCCGCCCCTATCTGAGTGCCGTGCGGGCCACACTGCAGGCTGCCCTCTGCCTGGAGAACTTCTCCTGTCAGGTTGTGGAACGACACAACAAGCCGTAAGTGGAAGTCAGGAGTAGCAAAGAACTCCTGTTACAACCCGTGACCATCAGCAGGAATGAGAAGGAAAAGATTCCGATTGAGGGCTCCATCAACTCTGTCTGGGTCAGCATTGCTGTGAAACAGGCTGATGAGATCAAGGAGATTTTATGCCACAAATTCATGCGCTTCATGATGATGTGAGCAGAAAACTTCTTCATCCTTTGAAGGAAGCCTGTGGAGGGGTGTATGACATCAGCTTTCTGATCACCAACTTCCACACAGAGCTGATGTACAAACACAAGTTGGTGGACTTTGTGATCCCCTTCATGGAGGAGATTGACAAGGAGATCAGTGAGATAAAGCTGTCAGTCAATGCCTGTGCCCGCATTGTGGCTGCGGAGTTCCTTAAGAATTTTTAAACCATCTGGCTGGATCTTGTGGCCTTCCCCCTCAGACTCCCCATGTCTCCATGAAGGCATCCTGAAGTCACTCCCCAGAACAGCAACAGCTGCAGCAGGGAGCTGGGTTAGGGTGGGCATTTGATATGGGAGGTGGGTGGTATGCTTGCTAGCTGGGCAAGAAAGCAGCAGTGGACGTGCCCCAAGGCCACACGTGCCTGGTCAGGCTGGCCTCTGATGTTCAGTCCCCTGGGCCGGGACAGATTTTTTGTTAACGTCTTGAAACTTAAACTCTGTGCTTAGAGGAGACTGTAATCTTTTTGTCTTTTTTTTTTTTTTTTTATTTAAACAAACAACCTCCACCTCCAGTGGCTGTGACTGGTCCCAGTGATTGTCCCTTATTGGTTGCTGTGGGTCTGGGCAGGCCTGGAGCCCAGAAGGCGATTATTTTTCCTCTCCTATGCCATCCCACGTGGGGAGGGAGGGAGGTTTCAGACTCCAGTTCCTCTCCCTTGCTCTTTTATTCCGAAGCCTCCTTGGACCCAGTATAAGTGGTGGGAACCCTCTGCCAGCTTCCTGAGTTCTGCCTGAAGATGGCCACCCAGCACTGGTTAGGGACAAGGGCCAAATTGGTGACCACCAGTCATGCCTAGGACCTGGGGCCCAAAAGCCAGGCAACCTCAGGCTATAGGGGCCATTGGGTACCCTCCCAGTTGAGAGGGGCCGCTGTTTCGCCTTGTCTGTCAGTGCAGTGCCTGCTATAGGTGGCGAGGTGAGTCCTCCTCCAGAGCTTCCCAGCCGGGTCCTCCTCCTGCCTGCTCTGGCTTCTCTGTTCCCATGCTAGCTGTCCCTTTTCTAATTCTGGTGGATCCTCCCTCCCCTAATTAAAGTCTCTTTTTGCCCCTTTGGGGCTGCATGAGGAAAAAAAAAAAAGTTGATATATAAAAATGGCAATGCAAGGCCAGGCATGGTGGCTTACACCTGTAATCCCAGCACTTTGGAAGGCCGAGGTATACAGATCACTTGAGCCCAGGAGTTCAAGACCATCTGGGGTAACAAAGTGAAACCCCACCTCTACAAAAAAATTAGCCAGGCATGGTGACATATGCTTGTGGTCCTAGCTATTCAGGAGGCTGAGGTGGGAGGAACCCTAGAGCCTGGAAAGCCAAGGCTGAAGTGAGCTGTGATTGCATCACTACACGCCCCCCTGAGCAACAGAGCGAGACCCTGTCTCAAAAAACGAAAAAAAATAAAAAATAAAAAGGCAGTACAATCTTCATGCAGTTTAATACTGCTGGTGATGGCATTTAACCAGTTTTACTTACTGTCTTTAAAAGTGGATGAATACACTAAAATTCCCCATTTTTCTTTTCTACTGTTTGCCCTTCTCATATAGTCTGGTATAGTACAGTTGAATCTCTCTAAAGTCAGATTTACTCAGGTTGTCTTATACATTAGTTTCAAATTAAATTTCTTAGAGCATAAATGTCTATAGCCTCCTGCCTCTTGTATTTTTAGCAAGAGATATATATTTATTTTTGATCTAATTACCGGTGACAGCTGACATGAAAGTACTGCTTCAGGTTCCTTAACATTCTGTGGTGGAAAGGCCAGTACTATTACAATGGAGTGGGGCCGGGCGCGGTGGCTCACACCTGTAATCCCAGCACTTTGGGAGGCCAAGGCGGGTGAATCACTAGGTCAAGAGATCGAGACCATCCTGGTCAACATGGTGAAACCCCGTCTCTACTAAAGATACAAAAAATTAGCTGGGCATGGTGGCGTGTGCCTGTAATCCCAGCTACTCAGGAGGCTGAGGCAGGAGAATTGCCTGAACCCAGGAGGCGGAGGTTGCGGTGAGCTGAGATCGCGCCATTGCACTTCAGCCCGGGTAACGAGCGAAACTCCGTCTCAAAAAATAATAATAATAATAATAATGGAGTGAGCACTTGATAATAATAGAGAACAATGTCCTACTTGGTTTTCCCATCATTCTTCCTCTCCTTTCTTATTGTCTATGTTTAAAGAAGCTTAATTAACTCAGAATGCAGAGCTGTATCAGCTTTCTGTAGTCCAATTTTGGAACTGCTTAGTCTACTCCCTGGAATCAGACCAATATCATTCAACATGTAACCAGATTTAATGCGTGCCATCTTACAGTCTCAGCGTTCAGTGCTTGGTAGTCATTCCATTACTTTCCAAATACTGTACTAAAATTTTAAGTGTAAATTTCTAACCAAAAACTCATTTAGAAATGGAATTCTACTTGAGATTTACAGTGGATTTTGAGTACCTCCCCCCAAAAGAAATTTTAAAAATCCAACATGGTATACTAAGTTGTTATTATTGCTTAATATTTGCAAAGAGAAAAAGAGTCAGAATTTTCATAACTTAGCCCCACATTGAGAATAATCAGTACAGTGAGAGAATAATTTTTATTGCTTAAAAGAAAAAGAGGCTAAATGTCTTTTTTAATTTCCTTCAAGTGTAAAGAATCTGAGAAAAACAGATTTTAAAACCAATAGAAGGAATGGTCATGATCCAGCAGCAACTGCTGCATGTGGGTGAAGAAAAGAAGACAGCATTATTTGTACAAATCCATATGGGATGCAGCGGGAACAGAAAGAAACAAGAAGTATAGTAACAGAGAAGGAGGGCACTCCCAGTGAAGATGTAGCCCTCAAAAAATGTTCCATCTAAGCACTGACTGATTCCAGTACCTTCAGGTGATTTGCTTTAAGTTGTAAATCTTCAGAATGGTTTATGCTCTCAATGCTTTTTTTCAGAAGGCTGTGAGATGAGGAAAAATATATTATTTTCAGTCTGCCCCCTCTTAAGACTTTATGGAATTTTAAGGAGGCTTCTCCCAGAGTTAAATTCCTGATTCAACCACCCCAGAGTCTATTTGACCATCTCTCTCTCTTTCTCTCTCCTTTTTTTTTTCTAGCTTGCCCAGAAAGATCAAAGTAAAGGTATTCTTTTGTTTTGTTTTGTTTTGTTTTTAATCTCCTACTTTATGCCTAATAATGGGGCAGATATCTTAGGTTCATTCTCTCTCAGTTATGTGTTAACAGCATCTCCATTCTTGAGTTGATTAGCTCAGTTAACTGTTGCAGGCTACTGATCAGGCTTATTAGAGGTCCTATGTTTGAGAGCTATGCGTGCTGGCTGGATGACAGTCAATGTAGATGAGAGTCATGTAACATAGTGTATGATTAAGGCTTTAACTCTGGTGTCAGAAGGACCTTTTGGGAAGCTGGGTGCAGGGGTATGCGCCTGTGGTCCCAGATACTCGGGAGGATGAGGCAGGAGGACTCCTTGAGCCCAGCAGTTCATAGCCAGCCTGGCAACATAGTGAAACCTCGTCTCTTAAAACAAAAGCCTGTAGGATCTGCCATTATGATGGGATCTATGCGTGTTACCTAGTTTTTCTTGGTTTACTCAGTTTATAAAACGGGTATAGTAACGCCCAGTTTACTTTTGTGAGACTTAAGTAATATAAAATATGCTAAATGCTGACCGAGCACGGTGGCTCACGCCTTTAGTCCCAGCACTTTGGGAGGCTAAGGTGGGAGGATCACCTGAGGCCAGGAGTTCGAGATCAGCCTGGCCAACATGGTGAAACCCCATCTCTACTAAAAATACGAAAATTAGCTGGTGTGGTGGCAGGCACCTGCAATCCCAGCTACATGGGAGACTGAGGCAGGAGAATCACTGGAACACAGGAGTCAAGGTCACTTGACCTGGCTAAAAAATTAGCCAGGCATGGTGGTGGGTGCCAGTAGTCCCAGCTACAGGCTAAGAGGTGTAAGATCACTTGAGACCAGGAGGTCAAGGCTATAATGAGCCATGATTACACTACTGCACCCAGCCTAGCCTGTTTAATTTTTTTCTTTCTTTCTTCTTTTTTTCTTTTTTGAGATGGAGTTTTGCTCTTGTCACCCAGGTTGGAGTGCAATAATGCGATCTCCGCTCACTGCAACCTCTGCCTCCTGGGTTCAAGCGATTCTTCTGCCTCAGCCTACCAAGTAGCTGGGATTACAGGCACCTGCCACCACGCCCAGCTAATTTTTTTTGTATTTTTAGTAGAGACGGGGTTTCACCAAGGTCAGGCTGGTCTCGAACTCCTGACTCAGGTGATCTGCCCGCCTCAGCCTCCTAAAGTGCTGGGATTACAGGTATGAGCCACCATGCCTGGCCAGCCTGTTTTATTTCTAAACCACCCCAAATAGAGTATCAAAGAGAAATTGTGCTGCTCAAATTGTTCTTGAAGAATATGGTTTTTCTCTTTGTTAAAACTTAATTTTATTCTTATATCCAAACTGCTTATATAAATAGATTCTTGAAATATTTTGGGACACTAAAATAGTTTTTCCTGATCTTACAAATTTCTTCTCTCCTAAAATTTATTTATAAATTGGTTGTTTGAAACTCAGAATGGATATTCCCTTAGGAAGTGGTGGTTGTGTTCTCAGGCCAATTCATCAAAGCTTCTCTAGCTTGTCTCTTAATTCTCCCTTTCTAGTGCTTAATGTTTTAATTTAGTGGTTTTCAAATGGACAGTATATCAAAATTGCCTGAGGTTTTCAAATGGACAGTATATCAAAATTTGTAAAGATAAAGGTACTTGTACAAAAAAAATAGAAAGAATGAATAAGACCTAGTGTTTGATAGCACCGCAGGGTGACTATAGTCAATAATAATTTAATTGTACATTTAAAAAGAACTAAAAGAGTATAACTGGGCTGGGTGTGGTGGCTGGCCTCTGTAATCCCAGCACTTTGGGAAGCTGAGGCAGTCAGATCACTTGAGCCCAGGGCTTCAAGACCAGCCTGGGAAACATAGCAAGATCCTGTCTTTACAAAGAATTAGCCAGACATGGTGGCGGGTGCCAGTAGTCCCAGTTACAGGCTAAGAGGTGGGAAGATCACTTGAGCCCAGGAGGTCAAGGCTACAGTGAGCCATGATTACACTACTGCACCAGCCAAGGTAACAGAGTGAGGCCCTGCCTCCAAAAAATAAAAAAAATAAAAAGAAATAAGAGAGTGTAATTGGATTCTTTACACAGAAGATAAATGCTTGAGGGGATGGATACCTCATTTTACCTGATGTGATTATTACACATTACATGCCAGTTTCAAACCATCTCTTGTACCCCATATATATGTAAAAGTCCTCTGTGGCTGGAGCAGAGACTGGTTGTCTCTAAACTCCTTTTTGTGTTGTTGTTGTTGTTGTTGTTGTTGTTGAGACAGAGTCTCGCTCTGTTGCCAGGCTGGAGTGCAGTGGCGTGATCTCAGCTCACAGCAACCTCTACCTCCCGGATTCAGGCAATTCTCCTGCCTCAGCCTCCCAAGTAGCTGGGATTACAGGCACGCGCCACCACATCCGGCTAATATTTTTGTATTTTTAAAAGAGACGGGGTTTCACCATGTTGGCCAAGATGGTCTCGATCTCTTGACCTCATGATCCACCCACCTTGGCCTCCCAAAGTGCTGGGATTACAGGCGTGAGCCACCACACCCGGCCCCCTTCTCTAAACTCTTTCTTGTGATCCTTGTCAGTGAAAGTCATATGTACCCACACCACCAATATATGTATATTCATTTTTAAATAAATTAACTACCTGTACTACAATAAGATAAGCACAAATATTTTTTAAAAGATGAAATATAAAGTTCTTCCTATAATCATGTTCTAAAAACAGAACATGAAATTCTAATAATCACCTGTTGCTTTCTGTACCTATTTGGATAGTTTTACGTACTTTCTGGAATGGACAAACCACACTTTTGCAAAATATAGGCATAGTTAAGGGGAGGTAGATAGAGATTAGATTCTATAGGATCAGCAGAGCCAAGAATTTCTTTATCCTAAGTGCAATAGGAAGCAACTGGAAAATTTTAGGAAGGGAAATGATGGCAGATTTCCACCTTGGAAAAGATCACTTTGGCAGCCCAATAGCAAAAAGATGTAATAAAGCAACCATGAACATGGGGAGTCCACTTTGGAATTTATGGCACTAGCTCTGATGAAAGGTGAGTATGGCTTGAATTGGGCATTGCCAATGAAGTTCAGAACAAAAACAAGATAGATATTTTGGAGACATACAGTAGTAGAGAGTCTAGTGATGGATTGCCTGAGCATTGGTTGGGGGAGAAGACAGTGGTGACTTGTGGGTTTCTGGCTTGAGCTTCTAGATGGAAGTCAAACAATGGCAGAAGAACAAATTGGGGACAGAAAGTGGGGCGTTAGTCCAGGCTTAAAGGTCTTGAATGTGAACCATCAAAATGATATGAAGTTTGCAATTGGATATGTAGGCTGAGCTTAGTAGAAGTTCTGGGCTGAAAACTATAAATTGAAGAGTTGTCAACATAAAGTACAGAAACCCCTCTACCCCCAGATATTATTTACTGATGGGAAATCTCTAAAGCAGAAGTGCCAAGGAGTTCCACAAAAATATTAAACAAAATTAGACTTACAGGACCAAAGATGAGGAATTAAAAATGAACAGGTAGGCAGATTCTATAAAATGCAAGTCTCCTAAAGTTGCTACAGCATTGGGACCACAGCTTATATTAGAATGTGGCAAATAAAGTAGAAATCAATATTTCAGAAGCTCTCAGGGACTCTTTATGAGCACACTACATTCTGGAGTAAGCCATGAACACTGGAAAGTGGCTCATGTCATACAAGTATTCAAAATGAGTCCAGGAAGCTGTCAAAAGTGTACACACCATTAGGCTTGAGTAATAGGGAAAACTAGACATGTCAGACGAGATTAAAGCAGGTACAGCCCCATAGATTGTAGGTTAGTGTGAATTCAGGAGGAGAATGCCTGGGAATTTGATGTCTGTATAAGCCTTGGGAATTATGTTAGAGTTGCAAGAGGTAAGGATGTCCTTTGTCCCCACCTCCTTAAACCATTATGCTCCTTAAGTATTAGAATACAACTCATAATCATTTACAGGCTCTTAGGTTCTCTGAAGGTTTCCCCCCACCCCCAAGACACATGGGGCAAAATCTTGTTTAATATGTTCCCTCTCCTCCTAGTGCTGAAAGCTTAAAACAAAGTGGCTTGTTTTGCTGATCACTGTGAAGAGGATGAAGTGAAGCCTATGGATATGTCCCCGCTCTTGATGGATGCCTTCTGATTCCTTTTCATCTGTTCCTTCCCAAGCCATTTATAGTACTGCAAACTGACTGTTAGAATTTTGGTTACCACTGATCCACTTTATGTCCAGATCTTGATAAGTCCTTGAAGAAATAACTGTGACTCTGACTTGAAAACTCTCAGCAACCCCCAACTTTCCAAGGAAAGTGATACTGTATTACATATCTATTTTTTCTCTGTCCATTGATTAATATATTAAATAAGATAGTTTACATTCATCCTAAGAAATTGGCTGAAGTGAGCAAGAGCCACACATAGTGGCTGCTACCTTTGGCCTATATTATATTGCTTTTCTAGGCACTTGAACTGAGCACCAGGAATCTTCATTTCAGAAAATATTAACTTGGGTCATATCAATCTTTTAAAAAGAAAAAACACGGTGATGTACGTTACCAGCATTTGCATCCACAAATTAATATTTTTGTGTGTTTCATTTCTGAGTTACAGAAGCAGATTCATCAAACCCTTAATGATAGCTCTTGCAGGTGACTGGCCCAATGTTAAAACTGAGCTCAGTGGCTGGGCACAGTGGCTCATGCCTGTAATCCCAGAACTTTGGGAGGCCAAGGTGGGTGGATCATGAGGTCAGGAGTTCAAGACCTGGCCAACATGGTGAAATCCCATCTGTACTAAAAATACAAAAAATTAGCCAGGCTTGGTGTCTTGTGCCTGTAATCCCAGCTACTCAGGAGGCTGAGGCAGGAGAATCGCTTGAACCCAGGAGGCAGAGGTTGCAGTGAGCCGAGATTGCACCACAGCACTCCAACCTGGGCAACACAGTGAGACTCCGTCATAAAAAAAAAAAAAAGAAAAGAAAAAAAATCTGAGCTCAGGGGAAATGCTGTGTTTTGACTGGGCAAGGAAGCTTGCATAAACCAGTCATCATGAAAGCCCTCCTCACTGAGGTGCTTCTCCCTCTGCAACCTTCCATCCCACAAATTTCTTCTTGATCATCTTTGTACCTTTGATAAATATCTGTTATTGCACTTATGAAACTAGATGATAACTAGATACATAATTGGCACTATGCCTAGACTGTCAGCTTCTTACGCAGATTTACTTTTTGTGCCAGGAAGTAGAACAAAGTAGTTAAAGAGGGCAGGCTTTGGAGGCCAACTTGATTTCATGTCTGACTATTTACTAGCACTGTGATCTTGGGCAGGTTACCTATCCTCAACTTATTTGTAAAATCTAAATAATACTTACCTCGCAGAGTTGCTGTCAGGATTAAATGTAGATTTTTCTAAATTATAGGCTTAAAACTGTTAGGAAATTTTTTGACATGAAGGAATTCCATACTTAATGCCAATTACTGCTAATGAATAACAAAGCAGAAGGAAGTGGACTTCTGAATGAATCACTGCAGTGCTAAAACGTGCACACTGGTCCAGGCCTCTCCTCGTCTTTATTGACAGTTTAGCTCAGTGGTTTTTAGTATGAACCCCACATCTTCTCAAGCATGTATCCCTCAAACCTACCAGCCCCCAACATCCACACCTGGTTTAGAAAGGTGTGTGGACATCCTGTTTGTCACAGTGACAGCTATTACTGACATTTAATAAGTGAAATCATAAATGGGCCCAGGGATGCCATGGGCTCAGAAATGGAGAGTGGAGTCTACATACCAAAAATTACTCCACCGAAAATGCCAATAATACCTTACCTTGATAAACAGTGGTAGTGCCCAGGTTCTTTTCTCTGCTTAAATGCAAAACCAACTTTTCACAAAATTAATATACTATTTGATAAAAATCAGGCTATGCCAAAGAGCATGCTGTATATATTACAGAGCATAACTTGAAAAATCTTTTCATGTGTATTCTGTTATGTTATTTCTTTCTTTTCTGTGTACAAGTTCTCTGTAGGTTACTATAATGAGTTTCAAATGTGTTAAGAGTTCCATTATTCCATTAATTATGATCCGAAGTTTAAGATCTGTGGTGTTGAAAAGCACTGCAGTTCCTAAATATACACAGCCCTTGAACTCCTAACTGTACAAAGATCTTGCTGGGGCCAGGAATGGTAGCTCACACCTGTAATCCCAGCACTTTGGGAGGCTGAGGTGGGAAGATTGCTCGAGCCTTGGATTTTGAGACCAGCCTGGACCACATAGTAAGACCCTGTCTCTTAAAAAAAAAAAAAAAAAAAAAAAAAAAAAAAGCAAGGCATCGTGGTGTGCCCCTATAGTCCCAGCTACCCAGGAAGCTAAAGTGGGAGGATCACTTGAGTCCAGGAGTTCAAGGCTGTGATTGCACCATTGCACCCCAGTCTGAGCAACAGAACAAGACCCTGTCTCTCAAAAAAAAAAAAAAGATGATTGAGTTTGATAATCAGGAAACCTAACCAAATCTTTTATGTAAGCAAATAAATATGTTTTTATTTGTTTGTTTTGTTTCGAGACAGGGTCTCACTCTGTCACCTAGGCTGGAGTGCAATGGCGTGATCTCACCTCACTGCAACCCAGCCTCCCAGGCTCAGGCGATCCCCCCACCCACCTCAGCCTCCCAAGTAGCTGGGACTACAGGCATATGCCACCACACTCAGCTAATTTTGTATTTTTTGTAAACACAGGGTTTCACCATGTTTTCCAGGCTGGTTTTGAACTCCTAAGCTCAATTGATCCACCCACCTTGACTTCCCACAGTGCTGGGATTAAAAGCATGAGCCACCACACCCAGCCAAAATATGTTTTGTTGGAAATAACTCACTTTGGAAGGCTGAGGAGGGCAGATCCCTTGAGGTAAGGAATTTGAGACCAGTCTGGTCAACCCCATCTCAAAATACAAAAATTAGCCTGGGCATGGTGGTATGCAAAAAGAAAAGAGAGGAAAGGAGAGGAAAAGAAAAGAAATAATCAGTGCATGTGAAATTCAAATATTAGTATTTGAAATAAGAAATGAAAGTAAAAATACAAAATAGGTTGATAACACTGGTTGATATGATTAGTGAGATGATTATTAAGACATACTCATCTGATAATTATTGATCTACAACACAATTAATAATATTAATCTACGAGACTCACATATGCAAATAAGAAATAAATACCTTGAATGAGAAGAAGAGAGAGAACATGGAGAATGAAGAAAGTTGGGTGTATTCTTTTCAGTCTTCCCCTTCCATATCTCTGACTGAGGCCAGCATGACTAATATTGAGAAAGAGTAAGGCAAATGAGTAATTTTTGTGCTCTGTCTTTTCCTGTTATTGAAAGTCACTGTTTAACACTCCCTGGCCATTCATCTACCACTCCCCTTTGCCTTAAACTCATTAGGCTCTTTCATTTGTATTTCCTGATAACACCTCTTTTATTTGTATTTCCAAGGTCCCACTCTTGTCTGTAAAAGGCAGGTGAGGGTATTGGTGATATGTAGAGTGAATAAACCTTCTCCGGTGATTTAGAATTATAATCCTCTTGAGTATTATCATCAGGGCAATAGATGAGAAAGCCCATTTCATTTCATGCAGTGTCCTTCAAACTGCTAGTTATGAAATCATTTTAGAGGATCTGTGAAATCATTGTGGAATACAATGAAACATTATAGAAAATATCAGTGGACACTGCACAGATCCTTGGCAAGAACTGGGTACAACTGGTGCAACCAGTTGCCACTAGTGATCTGAGGGAGAAAGCAGAAAGGCACTGAGGGAATATATGCATGGACTGGGGTGGAGTTGTTTTTATTTTTTGCTTCCTATCTATTTGGTATTCTGATATTTATAACATCAGGGTTAATAGTTTATAGTTGACTTTACATTGACATAATTTGCAGTTGGTTGTAAAATAAAGCACAGGGGAGTTCTTATCTTGCCTTCAGCAAAAGTGTTAAGAGTTTCAACTGAGTTTTGTTTGTAAATATTTAGTAGCTCAACTCATTGTAGTTGTTTATAATATGTTCTTTTAGTTTCTCATTGTTCCTATAACAAATCACTACAAAGATAATCTTTTAGTATACAGTTTTGTACAAGCCTGATATGAGTCTCACTGGACTAGGGATGAGGGTGTTGGCTGGGCTGCCTTCCCTTCTGGAGGTTCTTTGGGAGAATCCGTTTTCTTGCCTTTCCAGCTTCTAGAGGCTGCCCACATTGCCTTACTCACGGACCTCTGCCTCTGTCTTCAAAGCCAGCAACACAGAATTTCTTTGATCCTTCTGCAGTAGTGACATCTGAATGAAGTCCTGAAAGTTTCTCTTCTTTTAATGACTCACATGATTTCAGTGGGCCCACTTAGCTAATCTAAAATAACCTTCCCATCTTAAGGTCCTTAATCTTAATCGTATCTGCAAAATCCATTTGACCATGTAAGGTAACACATTCACAAGTTTAGGGATCCTAGGGATCACAAGTGCAGCCATCTCTGGGAGGCCATTATTCTGCCTACCATAGTTCTCTATGTTGATTCCAAATGGAATGTTTTCTTGTTAAATAAATGTATGTAAAAAAATTAGTTGATTTTGGCTGGGCACAGTGGCTCATGCCTGTAATCCCAGCACTTTAGGAGACCAAGGTGGGTGGATCACCTGAGGTCAGGAGTTTGAGATCAGCCTGACCAACATGGCAAAACCTTGTCTCTACTAAAAATACAAAAATTAGCTGGGTGTGGTGGTGTGTGCCTCTAGTCCCAGCTCCTCAGGAGGCTGAGGCAGGAGAATCACTTGAACCCGGGAGTCAGAGTTTGCGATGAGCCAAGATCGCACCACTGCACTCCAGCCTGGATGACAGAGTGAGACTCCGTCTCAAAAAATAAAGCAAAATTTTAAAAAAAGGGCCAGATGCAGTGACTCATGCCTGTAATCCCAGCACTTTGAGGGGCTGAGGCAGGCAGATCTTGAGGTCAAGAGATTGAGACCATCATGGCTAACATGGTAAATCCCTGTCTCTACTAAAAATGCAGAAAGTTAGCTGGGCATGGTGGTACACGTCTGTAGTCCCAGCTACTCAGGAGGCTGAGGCAGGAGAATTGTTTAAAACCCGGAAGGCAGAGGTTGCAGTGAGCCAAGATTGCGCCACTGCATTCCAGCCTGGGCGACAGAGGGAGACTCTGTCTCAAAAAAGAAAGAAAGAGGCCAGGCATGGTGGCTCATGCCTGTAATCCCAGCACTTTGGGAGGCCGAGGTGGGTGGATCATGAGGTCAGGAATTCAAGACCAGTCTGGCCAAGATGATGAAACCCCTGTCTCTACTAAAAATACAAAAATTAGCCGGGCATGGTGGCACACGCCTATAGTTCCAGCTACTTGGGAGGCTGAGGCAGGAGAATCGCTTGAACCCAGGAGGCGGAGGTTGCAGTGAGCTGAGATTGTACCACTGTACTCCAGGCTGGGTGACAGAGTGAGACTCTGTTTCAAAAAAAAGGAGAGAAGGAGAAGAAGGGAGGAAGGGAGAAAGAGAGAAAGAAAGAAAATAGTATATTGTGAATGGATATGGCAAAAATAATGAAAGTGGTATTCGAATGACTGAAGTTTGGGAAACACTGCACCTGAGAGGTGACCCAGTACCCGGAAGGAGTGGAGTCCAGGCTAGAGAGGCCATAGACCTATTTGCTCTACTGCTACCAGGTGGCTCCAACAAGGATCCTAGCACATCTGTTCAGTTTCTTTCTTTTTTTTTTTTATTTTTTTTTAAAGATAGGGCTTCACCATGATGGCCAGGCTGGTCTTGAACTCCTGACCTCAGGTGATCCACCCACTTCGGCCTCCCAAAGTGCTAGAATTACAGGCGTGAACCACTGCACCCGGCCCTTTTTTTTTTTTTTTTTTAAGATGTGTTTAGTTTCTTTATCCTAAAGAAGGGATGGTACCAGATAAGTCGTCTCCAAAGATCCCTCCAACTCCAATTTCCTAATTCTGTGTAAATGGATATTTATGTTAGGAATTTCAATGTCAGGGCCAAGCACAGTATGAAATATAAACATTGTAAACTGTTTACAATGTGAAAACACTGGTTCTGTCATAAATGCTGCCTTCCCAAATGTAGTTGTCAAGTCCACAGTGTCAAGCCTTGGTTGATTATTTAAATGACTGCTAATCATACTTGTTAGGGGTTGTCTTGCCGTGAATGGGTATCTTTTTTTTTTTTCTTTTTCTATTTGTTTGTTTGGCTCTTATTAATAAATACCATTTCAAACTAGTGAATACTCATCATCAGTTGCACACATCAAACAATTAGAGATTCTTTGAACATTTCTTGAACTTAGGAAATACTACAAAGACAGAGAGTGGACATTTGGTGGGACAGGACCCCAGCTTTAGGTAGACATTTAAAAGGATTCGTGATTCTTAACACATTCTTCAAGTGCACACTTCCTTATAGGATGTTTCAATTCTAATAACTCTTAGTGACTTTTTGTTCTTTTCATGAAAACTATATATTGAGGAGGGTTTTTTGTTTGTTTGTTTTTGTTTTTGTTTTGTTTTTTTTGAGACAGAGTTTTGCTTTTGTTGCCCAGGCTGGAGTGCAATGGCACCATCTCAGCTCACTGCAACTTCTACCTCCCAAGTTCAAGCGATTCTCCTGCCTCAGCCTCCCGAATAGCTGGGATTACAGCCATGCACTACCATGCCTGGATAATTTTGTATTTTTAGTAGAGATGGGGTTTCACCATGTTGGTCAGGCTGGTCTTGAGCTCCTGACCTCAGGTGATCTGCCCGCTTTGGCCTCCCAAAGTGCTGGGATTGCAGGCATGAGCCACCGCACACAGCCCTGAAAAGGTTTTTACATTTCTTTCTCTAGTAAGAAAAATTTCAAGCTTCTGTATTCCGTTCAGTATTCCCTAAAATAAAATCAATTTTTGTCCTGGAATATGGTTTTAAAAACTGAAAGTCTGTTTTCTTTGATTACCTCATTAATAACAAGAGTTTCATATCAGCTTTCCCCTGTCTCTTTCTCCTCCACCCTTTCCCCACGTTTACACTGTGCCAATCACACAGGTGGACGCTTGCTGTCAACCCACAGCACAAGATAAATAAGCTTGGCTTGGAAGGTTTCCTAGCAACATATTGTTCTGGGAACCTGCTCTGTTTCCCTGAACAAGATGAAGCCAAACATCCTAGAATCTCAGCCAGATGGGAAAGGATTAGTTTATTGAGAGTGATTATTGCCTTTTTTTTTTTTTTAATATTTCACTTTGAAATGAACCTTTTAATATAAGTAGCAAAAGTGACTTTTAAAAGGACATGCAAACATATCCTTTTAAAAAGACAATTTTTTTTCTCTTACATATAAAAGAAATGTTGGTAATAGTTTGAAATTTAAAAATATGGTTTTGGAATTCTCTAGAAATTACAAGCTTTCAGTATATAATTCAGTCATTGGTGAGTGGATCCATTTTAGAACCATATAGAAAAGGGGACTAATATTCAGCCTGGTGTCCAGTGGTATGGTATTCCTGCTTTAGAAATACTGAAATACTTTTGATCTGGTGGGAAAATGGCTGCTGGAGTGGGCTTTCTCCTCACAATACCTGTATCTGCTTCCCATGGCTCTTGTTCCTGCTCCTAGGGAAACATTGGCAATACCTTGGCACTGCTTAAAACCCTGAAGTGTCCCCTTTTTCTATAGCTCCAGGGCTATTGTAGTGCTAGTGATCTGCAATTTCATCTTCAGAGTCTATTTTTGGTTTTCTCAGTGTATGATTAATGTATATAGAGAAAATAAAACTAAAGGAAATTGAGACTGCTGTCAAAGCCAGAAAAAATAACATCATTGTTATTTTGTTAACACATGATCATGTATATTTCCCTTGTTTATCTAGTGATCCGTGAGGGTACACAGTCGGCAGGTGGTGCTTTCCTTTCTGTTGCTCTCTAGTTGGTCATAGTATACTGTTAGAGGTCTCTGGAGATGGAGTAATAAAGGATTAGTGTTTCTCATTACAATGTTCAGCAGCGGCTTTGCAATTCAGTTACACCCTGTGAACTGTCCTCACTCCCAGTTTGACTGGAGAGACATTCCCAGTCAGATGAATATTCTCATACTGTGGTTGTTGACTGGTTTGTATCATCTATCAGGTTTGGACTGAGTTCGTGAAACTTCCCAATTGTGGTCAGAAGCAGATGATTCTAGTACTTCATAGTGTTCCTGGGTAGGAAGAAGAAAGTAATTAGAATAAGATGGGGAATGACACCTGGTGTCTTTATTTTTTATTTAACAAATTATCTGGCCAGATGCCAATGAATTAATACTGTCCTCATTTTAATGAAAATAAGGAAATTGTGAGATAATTATATATTCATGCTAGGCGCTTTCCATTCCCTTTTGCTCTCTCACTCATATGTCTATATTTTCTAAATACCACATGTTAAACTCAACAAGGAACAATCTGTTGAGGGCCTACTATGGGCCAAATACCACTATTAGGTATTATGGCAGATACTGAGGCAGATACACATCGTCCTTGCCTTCACAGAGTACGCAAGAAGTCTGCAACATAGCACATTTGTGATTTAAATGAAACGAAAACATTAAGGAGAGGTTTGATGTTTAAAGGAATCATAGGCTAGGTATAATGGCTCATGCCTGTAATCCCAACACTTTGGGAGGCTGAGGCAGGAGGATCACTTGAGCCCAGGAGTTTGAGACAACGAGCCTAAGCAACATAGTCAGACCCCATCTCTATAAAAGTTAAAATAAAATAACATAAATAAAGGAATTCTATAAATTTGATTGTCCAAGGAAAGGCTAAAAGTAGATTTAATACGTATTATAGAACAGAATGAATTCTAATGCCTTAATTTTGATTGAATACTTACTTTAAAAAACAGTTTTAAAAATGTCCACGAACAAGGCATTGTTTTAGGTACCTCTCTGTTAACTCATTTAATTCTCCTACACCATTATGAGGTAGAAATTTTGTTTGCCTGCCATTTTATAAATGAAGAAACTGAGGCTAGGAGAGTTTTTTTGTTTGTTTTAAAAGACAGGGTCTCAGCCGGGCGCAGTGGCCCATGCCTGTAATTCCAGCACTTTGGGAGGCCAAGGTGGGTGGATCACAAGGTCAAGAGATCAAGACCATCCTAGCCAACATGGTGAAACCCTGTCTCTACTAAAAATACAAAAATGAGGTGGGCTGGTGGCATGCCCCTATAGTCCCAGCTACTCGGGAGGCTGAGGCAGGAGATTCACTTGAATCCGGGAGGTGGAGGCTGCAGTGAGCCAAGATTGTACCACTGCATATCAGCCTGGCAACAGAGTGAGACTCCGTCTCAAAAAAAAAGTCTTATTCTGTTGCCCAGGCTAGAGGAAGTGGATGTTCACAGGTGCCATCAGAGTTCACTGCAGCCTGGAACTTCTGCTCTCAAGCAATTGTTCCATCTCAATCTCCCAAATAGCTGGGACTATAGGTATGCACCACTGTGTCCTAAGAGAGGTTAAATATCTGTTTACTGAGGGCTGTTGTACTATACTGTGCTTATTTGTTGATTTTTAAAATTCTGTGAGTCCATAGGATTCTAGTTTTTTTTTTTTTTTTTTTCAGAAAACAATAAACTGCTGTCTTTGTGGATGACATAATTTTAGCAAGAAATAAATCAGTTGTTTAGATGACTTTCTATTATCTCATACAGCACAATGATTCTATATTTGAGTTTTCCTTGTTAAACATTACAACCTTCTTTCTTTTCAGTATACTACCATTTTATATATATGGGTTTTTTTTTTTGGTGGTGGGGTAGGGGGGCGACCTGAGTCTTGCTCTTTCACCCAGGCTGGAGTGCAGTAGCAGGCGCGATCTCAGTTCACTGCAACCTTCGCCTCCCAAGGTTTAAGCAATTCTCCTGCCTCAGCCTCCCAAATAGCTGGGATTACAGATGCCTGCCACCATGCACGGCTAATTTTTGTATTTTTAGTAGAGATGGGGTTTCAGGCTGGCCTCAAACTCCTGACCTCATGTGATCTACCCACCTTGGACTCCCAAAGTGCTGGGATTACAGGTATGAGCCATCACACTAAGCTCATTTTAGAGTATTTCTTGTAGCTCAATTTTTTACTTGTTTAAAATAATAATTTTCGTTTCAACATAATAGAAGGATATGAGTGAATCATACTTAAGAAAGTTAAAATTAATAGCACTATTACATACATTAGTAAGAGAAGGTTGTGACATCAGCAATACTATTAAGAACAGAGGTGGACAAAGTGTGGCCTGCTTCTGTAAATAAAGTTTTCTTGGAACACAACCAGGCTCATTTACGTATCACCCATGGCAGGTTTTATGCAATAACGACAGACTTGAATCTTTGCAGCCTAGACTATGGCCTAAAATATATACTGTCTAGACCTTCACAGGATAAGTTTCCCAACCCCTACTCTGGAGTCTGTGTTTTTCTTCTAACTTTGAGTTGGGCATGCTCCCTTAGAATGCCAGAAATTAACTAGCAAACACACTTGAAATTTTTTTTCATAAATGGTCTTCTTGTCTAACATGGTTTTCCTCACATCCCTGCAGGTACCAACCAAGAAGCTGAAGAAATATGAGAAAGAATATCAGACAATGCGAGAGAGTCAGCTGCAGCAGGAAGACCCAATGGATAGATACAAGGTATGAGAAATATTTTGCATCTATCGAAGTACCTTCTTTTTTGTTTTAAATGAGACTGAGTCTTGCTGTGTTGCCCAGGCTGATCTTGAACTCCTGGCCTCAAGCAGTCCTCACACTTCAGTCTCCCAAGTAGCTTGGATTACAGGCACCAGCCACCATTTCCCAGCTCAGCAAAGTATCTTTTTTTTTTTTTTAACTTAAAGCAGCAACTGTGGCAATTTCAATTCCCTCTGTTCCTCCTTGATTGATTTAGATGCTCTCTGATTATGCTAACTGTCCAGGTATGTCTTCATTTCAGGAGACTCCCAAATAGCCAACCATAATATTTCTTTTCTTTCAGTTTGTATATTTGTAGGTAACTCCAGCTGTTGCATTTATACTGGGAATCTTCATAAGAAGCGGAGAGAAAGAGAGGGGAAAAAGAAAGTGGCTTTCTACTTTCAAAAATGAAACAAAAAGGAAAAATGGCAAAGTACTGTTTTAGCTGTGCATGATCATATCCACAAAGACTTTTAGCAGGTGAACTCTTCCAACTGACAAGGATGTTTCAAAGTTGCCTCTGTCTTTAACAAATGTTAAAAATACCAACTCACTTGGAAGGAAAAATAAAAACCACAAAGGTATATTGAGCACAGTAATGGTGTTGGTTGCAACATTTATTTCCAGACATTTATGAACAAAAATGATATTTGACTTATAGTATGAAGTTCAGAATCAAAATAATTTCAGTTTAATACATTCATTAATTGTGAATCTCTTTAATGGTAATTAGCAACACTGTTCTCAGGATTCAGTGTTGGGAAACACTTGTTTCCAACTTATTTTTTCCAAGTAAAATATTGTCTCTCTTCAACATGCTTTAATTTTCAGACTCACACAGATGCATAATAGCTTCTTCTCCCTCCACATCAATACACTAAGATAAAAGAATATTGTATTTTCAGCACTGAGCACCAGTGCCAAAAAGTCCTGCCAAGAAATGGACTGTGTGGCATGATTAATTAAATCACCCACATTGGAACAACTTCCACTTTTGTGACTAGAGTTACCTTTATGTGGTTAGAGCTGGACATGGCAGCACAGTCACACAGTACATCTTATCTCTGTGGGTGAACTGAATAGCACAGGATGTATACAGAGGAACAGGGAAGCAGGATGTAGATTTTGTAGTCAGACAGGCCTGAATTCAAACCTTGCTCATTTTTTAGAGCACAGGATTTAGACTTCACACTGAGAGTTTTAATCTCCATGCCACCATTTAGTGTCTTAGACTAGTTACTGAACCTCTTCATCATGTGTAAAAGGTATAATGTATCGGATTTTTTGATGGATTGTTGCAAGGATGAGGCATGCTGTATGTTAAGGACTCAGCTCATAGTTGTGTTCAAGAAATGGCTTTTATTTTATGAAGGCTACTATGACAAATTATGCAATTATTACTAGAATAATATCACCTTATATGGGTCTTCCCCTCTAGTCCATTGCTGACTGTTCTCAGTTCTTTCAAGTATTGCTAACTAGTACTCACCCCTTGCTTACAGAAGTGGTTTAAGATCTGATGATAAAATCCCACATACTGCTATAGCAGATAACTATAACAGTAAGGTGTTAATAGATGACGTATGAAGCTTAATTTTCACCAACATCCCCTCAATAAAACCAGCTTTCAATGTAAATCATATAGCATGCTGCTTTAGAAAGGCTTGAAGGTGGTAATTATAAACTATTATTAAGCATCCAGAATGGAGCTCTCCTTTTGCTTATATTATTCTAATTTTCTTATTACTACCATTGTTCTGAAGAAATTCTGTGAAGAGTGCTTTAAAATAAGAGTGAAATGAGAGACCAAACTTATACATTTAAAATCAGGCTGGAATTGAACTTGTTATTGTGTCTTAAATATTTTTTTGTGCCGAAGCAGGTATGTATACATGAATAGTAAGATGGACATTATTTTTAAAGTACTTATAACATGTAAGATCATCAATGTATATAGTTTTTGAGAGATCAAAGTAGGATTAAACTTTTTGTTTTGAAAGCAGGCATTACTGTTTAAGTTCAAGTATTGTTGCTTCTTATTTGCACATATCTGATACCCTCTATCGCTATTTCTTTTAGATTATTGTGATAACTTGTCAGTACATTTATCTAATATCTCTATACTCTTTTAATAATGTCTAGGCATTTGCCCTGGTAATGCATTTGACAAATTCATAGTTCTTAGATTATAATTACATTTTTGAGGTGGCAATCAACGACATAAGCTTCAAACCATCAGCATATTTGGTTTTTCAGATGATCAGTATGTAATTTAAGAAGCCATATTATAATTATCTTAATTAAAGTAGCAAAGTTAGAAAATACCTTTTACATATTCTAAATTTAATCCTGTGAAGAATAAGATCTCTGTCCTGGGAATGAGCATTTTATAATTCATAGATCTTGGACTGGAAACCCAGCAAATGTAAATTCTTAAAGACTGACTTGGGAAGCTCTTTGAGGGCAACGAGTGAGAACTTGCACCAGTTCAGTGACAGCCGCTCCTCAACATTAGAATCTCCACTGCTTAAAAAGTCATTTGTACACCCCAGCTTGCCATCTGACAAGAAAGCTAGGAAGGTTTTAGGAAATGTATTTTTCAAAGCCCAGATATGTTATATAAGAAGATATTTTAAGAGGTATTTCAGTTCAATGCTATTTCTCTTGGACATGGTAGTGTATGTAAAAGGGCTATCACGCCGGGCAGGCCTGTGATCCCAGCACTGTGGGAGGCTGAGGCAGGTGGATCATGAGGTCAAAAGTTTAAGACCAGCCTGGCCAAGATGGTGAAACTCTGTCTCTACGAAAAATACAAAAATTAGCCTGGTGTGGTGGTAGGCACCTGTATCCCAGCTACTCAGGAGGCTGAGGCAGAGAATTGCTTAAACCAGGGAGGCAGAGGTTGCAGTAAGTGAGATTGCACCACTGTACTCCAGCCTGGGTGACAGAACGAAACTCCATCCCACTAAAAAAAAAAAAAAAAAAAAAAAAAAAAAGACTATCACAGGGAATCTAGAGGTGGGATTAAAGATCCAAGAATGTAGAGGTAGCTCTCAACAGTCATACTTCTTGCTTTACACATATTTTCATGCTCAGGCTATATCGCTATAGTCACCTTTATTCAATACTTAAATCTCAACTACAAAGAAAGAGGTGAAATAGTTTTGGTATAAATTTAAATTTTAAAACTCAAAGTATCATGAAAATCTTCTGGAATTAAGAAGTAATATTGATTGCACAACTTTGTGAATATACTAAAATCACTAAATTGTACATTTGACTTTTTAAATCTTTTTTATTTTTTGTTTTGAGACAAAGTCTCACTCTGTTGCCCAGGCTGGAGTGCAGTGGTGCAATCTCGGCTCACTACCACCTCCGCCTCCCAAGTTTCAAGTGATTCTTGTGCCTCAGCCTCCTGAGTAGCTAGGATTACAGGTGTGCACCACCACACCCAGCTAATTTCTGTATTTTTAGTAGAGTTGGGGTTTCATCATGTTGACCAGGCCGGTCTCAAACTCCTGGCCTCAGGTGATCCACCCTTCTCGGCCTCCCAAAGTGCTGGGATTACAAGTGTGTGCCACCACACACGGCCACTAAACTGTACATTTCAAAAACATGAATTTTATGGTATATGAATTACATCTCTCAACCCCCCCAAAAAAAGAAGACTATTCCAAGACAATTGTCATTTAGCCTCCCCTTTTCCTTTCATGAACCCTAAGTTACAACAGAGGTACCTGTGTAGAAGCCTTGCAGGAGGGACAGCTTTCTGTTGAAATTAGAGCTAATTAGTGACTATTGATCTCGTATGTGTCCATATTTATAGGATAAAGGCCTACACACTGGGTGGTGCATTAATTTTTAATTTCCAGATAGAACATATGTTGTACATTATATGTATACACACACAGACATAAACATATATAAGTAGGTAATACATTTATCTGCACTGCCTGTGCTGCCTGGTCTTGGCATCAGTTTATATTTTAAACTCAGTGAGCATGATAATGACTGCTATAGCCTTTACTCTTTCTGTTTTTCTTCATGACTAGATTCCAAGAGATAGAAAGGAAACTTTTTTGGAGGAAGAATGTGTAGAATATTTATTTCAAATCTTTTTTATCTTCCTTCTTAACTTGGACCTGGCCAGATTTTTGTACAATTCTTTGTCTACTCTAATATTTTGATTTGTAAATTTAGTGGTTGATTTTCTAATGAGGTAAAATGTAGGATAAAGATTTGCCTGTAGAAATAAGCATTTTTTTTTCATTTTCCTACAGAAAATACACATTCATCAATATGTGTAGCTGTTTTAATATATTTTAGAAACATAGTAACCAGCCCTTAATAAGCAAAGTTACCAATATCGGAAATTAAAATGTTTTTTATCTTAAAGAGAGGAATTGTTTCTACTGTGAGGAAAGTTTTCTAGTGATATTATCAGTAGATGGTACTTTTTGGAGATCTGTAGCCTTCAGCTACCTTTGGAGAATGATACTCTTTTCTGGTTTAATTAAAGAACTCCTTGCACAAATGAGAGTCAAGCCTTAAAAAACACGGCTAATTAATTAAATTCACTGAATCTCCCAAAGCATAATAAAGGTTACCTGTTCTAGATGGGAAAATACTAAAAGAATCTGGAATGTTTAAACTCTCTTGGGTTTGGGACACATATAGTATTATAAATACAGAATTTCTTTTTTTTTTTGAGACGGAGTTTCGCTCTTGTTATCCAGGCTGGAGTGCAATGGCGTGATCTCGGCTCACGGCAACCTCCACCTCCTGGGTTCAGGTAATTCTCCTGCCTCAGCCTCCTGAGTACCTGAGATTACAGGCACGCGCCACCGTGCCCAGCTAATTTTTTGTATTTTTAGTAAAGACGGGGTTTCACCATGTTGACCGGGATGGTCTCGATCTCTTGACCTCGTGATCCACCCACCTTGGCCTCCCAAAGTGCTGGGATTACAGGCTTCAGCCACCATGCACAGCCCGCATATACTAATTTTTGTAGGGTAATTGCCTCTACATGTAATTTCAAATGAAGCTATTATGTATAATAAAAATAATACAAATGAAATATTTGAAATAAAGCTTAATTGTACTTTTTTGCCATCCTTACATATCTAATAAAATAGTTTAGAGCAATTATCACATTTCTTTTAAACTTGACAAATGAAGAAAAGTTTAAATTATGATACATTTCTTGCCTATAGAAAAGAGGCAGTAGACTTTTTTTAAAAAACCTTTGGGACCTTTTCGGTGTTAGACCCTTTCTTACTCAGAGGAGTCAAGATAAGTGAATCCAACTTTGAAAAATGTTTTTCTGGTTGGGCGCAGTGGCTCACACCTATAATCCGAGCACTTTGGGAGGTGAAGTGGGCAGATCACTTGAGGTCAGGAGTTCGAGACAAGCCTGGCCAACATGGTAAAACCCTGTCTCTACTAAAAATACAAAAATTAGCCGGGCGTGGTTGCGCACACCTGTAGTCCCAGCTACTTGGGAGGCTGAGGCAGGAGAATCTCTTGAACTTGGAAGGCAGAGGTTGCAGTGAGCCCAGATTATGCCACTGTACTCCCACCTGGGTGAAAGAGTGA